AATGAGAATAACCTTGGAAGAGAAATAAGAAAACAACACAAAAAAAGGACTCAACCCACATACACACACGCTCGGCGCAGAATCCGTTTCTTAACGTCATTTGCATGGTTTTTTGGTTCTGGACGGTGGCATTCAGCGGCGAGGACGGGCGACAGGAGGAGAGGGAGGTATGGATGGTCCGGTCATCTTAACTGCATTGCACTGGACATCTAACCACCCTTGCCCTGCTCGTCTGTTTTGCGTGTCTTGTCTGCCTGTCTTCCTTGCCCCTTTTCCCCCCCAGTTTTACGAGCCTTCTCTTCCCTTCTCCTCTCTACTTCTACACAGCCAGCTAGCCAGCGGAAAATGCACGACATCTTGGTCTTCCGTCCAGCAACTTACTTGGTCATCTTAACTGTATTGTACTGGGGAGTTTGTGCACCCTGGGCGATAGCTCTGCAGTTCCCTGTCTTGCATTGGCTGTGTTGGAGGGTGTTTTTTTTATCAGCTATTTTTTTGCGTCTACTAGCTAGGTAGTTTCTTTTTCCTTCCATGGGGGGGTTGATCAGATATTGAGACAAGATGAGATGTTTGATACATACTACATATCCTTACTACACTACACTCTACACTACTACAACACTACATTATACATACACTTACTATACGCAATAACTAATTAATGAAGACACGCTAATTTCATACCTCTCTCCCCCATCTACCTATTTCACAGTGTAAAAAAAGGAAATGCCGTAAAAATACAATTAAACCAATGATACAATGATTAGTATACCCGAAAAGCCGTCTTTCTACCTGCTGCCCTCTACGAGCGGGAATTAACCCACCTCCAAATCCCCTCTTCTGCCTCTGCCATTCTCTCTCCAGCACTCTTCATCCACGAAAGCGTGGTCTCCCATGCCCCAGCAGCCGAATTCCACAACCACTCGCCATCGTCTGCTGCTTGGTCATTGCGATCCTCATCGTCGCCAAAGAAGTCATACTGGTACACATATCGTCCTCCCGCTTCTCCGGGCGCTGGATCCCAGACCTGCCGCATACCAAAATGCGGGCCCTCGCCGGTACCAAACCCCGCGCCGTCTGCAGCCAGTGTTGCGGGTGACGGCTGGGCGATGGCGGGATTCTGGCGGTATCCCGGTGGATGCTCAAGGTTGGGCAATGTATTATTGCTGTGGCTTGAGCTCGATGCTGAGCGTTGATGTTGATGCGGTAGCGTTTGGAAGTGATGGTGCTGAGCATGTGTTTGAGTATCTATATGTGCGCTCGGCGGTTTTGTAGTCGTCGTTGACTCCTTGTAGAGGTGCATTTCTGATGCTTTGGGAGGAGGAGGGATGGGTTTGGCGGCGTTGGGGGTCTCTTGGGGTGGCACACTGGCGCCTGTCCATGACGTACTCTGCCCTGTATATGGGGAAGGAAAGGGCTGTGGTTGCGGTGGAGGAGGAACAGGTGAAGGTGAGTCTTCTGAGGTGGCTGCTGGGGCCGTTGGTGTTGGGCCAGGAGCTGGCTCGGCTTCAGGAGCCGTTATTGTAGACCTTGCTGTGGTGGATGTAGTAGTATGGAGATGTGTCTCCTCCTGACGCGACGCAGCCCCAGCTGGCGACTTCTCCGACTCGTTCTCCATCCTCGACCGAAGGAACCGATGGCAGCGTGTGAAGCCCACAAGGTTAAACAAACGGGTATGTGTATTTGAATGCAGCAGCTGATGTTTTCCTGCTGGGGATGTTCTTGATGCTCTTGTAGTAGAAAGCGAGTTCTACTGCAATCGAAGCTGGCTGAGCGGAAGCTACGTCATATCATGTGACCCCACTCGAGAGCTCTGATTGGCTCTCGGGCGAGGGACCTGCGTGGAAAGGACGGGGACGAGGGAGACAGTTTGAGAGCAATAAAAAAAAAAAGGACATTTTTCTATCTGACAAGGTTGTACATAGTGAAAACACAGAAGGAAAAAGGCAGGGGGGGACAAGGGAGAGAAATTGATTGAATGCCAAGATGTCACAGGAGGAAATACACAGAAAATCAGCAGGAAAGAGACCTCGCATGTAGTAGTGGTAAAGTACAGATGGGTAGTGAAAGGGAAAACGCGACCCTGTCTCCGATTTCTCTAATGCATCGAGAACGAGGACGATAGGATTCGGTAGTTCTCGACGCACTGTTGTTGTTCCATGATGCTGCTCCGGGGGCGTCAAGACACTCCTCACTTCTCTCCCAGAGGAAGAAGCACCAACGGCCATCACGAATGAACACTCAAGGGACTGTGATCCATTATGGTCCGGGTTTCGGCGGGCGAGCCGTTTACTTGAACTTCTTTCCGAAGAGGAGGAGCTGGACCTGGTCGTAGATGGAGAGGACACCAGCACCGGCAACACCACGGAGGATGTTGGCACCAGCGCCCTTGAAGAAGGAGCGGATACCCTCCTTAGCCATGATCTGGCGGGCAGCATCGAAGGAAGAAGAGTACTTGACGGCCTGCATAGCTTGTTAGATATGATACACCAGTATATAGTTGGCGGTATGGATAATATGATACGTACCTCACCAGAAGTCATCATCATACGACGACGGACAGTGTCAAGAGGATAAGAAGCAATACCAGCACCAGTGGTGACAGTCCAGCCGAGCAAGAAGGAGGCAAGGAAGTTACCCTCGAGAGGTCCAACGAGAAGAACAGGCTTGATGGAGTCGTACATTCCGAAGTACAGACCACGGTAGACGACAATTCCGAGGACGGAGGGTCCGAATCCACGGTAGAGACCAGCAATACCATCAGAGGCGAGGGTCTTCTTGTAGACGTCAATCAGACCGTTGAACTGACGCTCACCACCACCCTTCTTAGCAGACTTGGCGTCGTTGGCAAGACGGGTACGGGCGTAGTCGAGGGAGTAGACGAAGAGGAGGGAGGTGGCACCAGCCATCTATTATATACGGTCAGATTTTTCAAAGCTCTTCAGAATCGCCGACTGAACGGGAAGAAAAGAAAAAAACTTACACCACCGGAGGCCAAGTTACCGGCCATCCAAGTCCAGTATCCATCACGGTCCTTCTTGAAGGCGAACATGGACTTGTAGGTGTCACGGAAAGCGAAGTTGAGGGCCTGGGTTGGGAAGTAACGGATGACGTTGGCAGTGTTACCTCTCCAGAGGGAGACCATACCCTCAGTACCGGCAGTTCTGCGGAAGCAGTCCATGATGCCGTTGTACTTGCGGTCGAGACGACCAGACTTCAACATCTCGTCCTAATTGGGGAGTTAGCCTGGCCATCCCATGCCTATGAAGAAAAAGAGTCTGCAGCGACGGTTTTAAGCTTGCCGCTTCGATTGAGCATACCTGGTTCTGGATAAGAAGCTTGACACGCTCAATGGGAGCGGCAGCAGTCTTGGAGACGGCGGCGGAGACACCACCCACTGTAGAGAACTGTTAGCATATCCATCCCCGAGGATCTTCCAGGCTGCGCATCAGGATTTTCTCTGGTTTGAGATCCTGGTGAACGCAGTCGGTTGCTTCTAGCTTGATAGCTTAGCAGGAGTGATTTCACGTACTCATGAAGTCCACGACGAAGCCCTATAGCCATGAGACACGTTAGCCGACGCTGTCCGCGTGAGACTGAAAATTTTTTCACCACTCTCGAGAGCAGCATCGGCAGCATCGAATTCCATCCATTGCGAGCTCGCGGCCATGCCATTGACGACCGCTCTCATCAATTGAACGCTCGAGCTGCCTCTGCCTCCTGTCCTGGGGGGTTTGATGGCTACTTACGGGGACTCCGAAGATAGACTTGTCCTGTTGGCTAGCCATTGTGCCGGTATGTGATTTCTTCGCTGGACTGAAGAAAGGGAAGAGAGGAGAGGGAGGTAAAGGCTGGCAAAGGGATGCGAGGCCTTCAAGAAGGAGGAGAGAGGGATGCAAATGAAGCTGAGAGATGGAAGGGAGAAGGAGGAGAGAAAGAGAAGAAGAAGAGAAAAATCTGAAGAAGAGAAAAAATACTCAATTGGGTTGTCAGGGAGGAAAAGGAAAATTTGTCGCGCTAGGCCTCTTTGGGCGAAGTTGTCACGTTGCCGACTTCTCCCGAGATTTTCCCTCGGCGGGAAAAACTTTTCGTC